AAGTTTGAAGCAACTCAGATGACTTCTCCTACTACTAATCTAGTGTTCTCCCTGCTCTATAGGTGTTTATCACAAGAACACTCTCCAATAAATTTGCTGCATTTGGGAACCACAAGAGGTAACAGCATGAGGATTGACTCATGACTACAATTATTAGTGAGACTTTTATTTGCCACTTAGAGCCCATGACAAATCTCACAACCTTCCTTGATGTACTCCTCTGCTCCTGGTTGACTTTTTTCTAATGCATGCTTTCACTGAGGGTATAGCCCTTTAACATCTGGGCTTCTTGTGGAAATCTCACTTCCAATTCTCCACCTCTTACAAGCCCACAGATTCAAATCCTGCCCTTGCAGCAGATAAAATCTATGTCCCTTGGTGACCAATATCACCAAACTGCCTCACAGCACCCAAGGTATCACCACCCACTTACCTTGCTGGCTTCCACCTCCTCTTCATTTTAGGTTCTGTGCACTTACTTCACCTTCTCAAAAGTCCTTTAAAAGGATGTTTAAATTTTACCCAGAATTTCTAGGTTGTTTTGTAGCCAAAGGGCTTTACAATTATCTAGTTTGCCGTACTGTTCTATTATACCTTTTAAAGACATGAATATCTGCTCAATTCCATGGTAAAACAAACACTGCAAATGTGACAGCATTTTATTTCATACTCTGTAAACTGGTTGCTAATTTGTCATGATTATACAAACTTTAGTATATGTCTCAATAATTTTGTAATTTATAGGTTCTTCTGAAGGAAAAATGGACAATCATCACAGTCGTCATGTAGAGTCTAGGATCCTAATGAAAAATTTTCTTCAATTCCCACTGCAAAAGTATTGTTTTATATAGATCCCTGGACCCTGGTCCAGATTTGGTGGGCCTCAGAAATTGATCTGTATGTGTGCTGTTACCTCTTGTGGTTCCCAAATTTGGAGTCCACTGGTCTTAGTTTCAGAGACTGGTTATAGCTTTTGCATGTCTATAATCCCTGTGGTCAAATTGTGCCATGTGCATTTGAATGGTCAGTGGGAAGAGTGGGAACTAGTCAGGTCCTTATCTATGTTGCCTAGAAAGGAGTCTGCCATCTCCTTTACACCACTCATAAACCTACCTTCTGGAGCAGAAAACAGAAGTCAGGGAACATGGCTAGTTTTATATAGCCGTCTGAGGTCTACATAATGGTAAATATTTGAAACACAAATGGGCCCAGAGAAAGGAGCTGGGACAATAACCGGCTGTACAAGTCCTCTAAGGAAATTACAGGACACTTTCTATTGGCTAGAGAGCTCTCATTTATGTAGTAGGAGCATGAAAATAACAAGCTTCATGTTGCGTTTAAATCAGAAATAAGCCGTATCACTTCATTTCAAAAACAGCTGCCTAAAGAAAAGCAAACTGAACTGTTTTCTTCCCATTCTGAACAAAGGAAGCAACGAGAAAAAAAAAATTCAGTGATATTTATAACAATAATAACAGATTTATTGGAGGAATTATAACTATGTCCTGCAAAAACAGTTTTATAACATCAGAGGTGATTAAAAACAGTCTAGTTTCTGAAAACAATCTAACAATACAAGCATACTATTTTATTTATTTATATTAAATGGAATTTATATTTAATGGCAAAATTTAAAAAAAAAGTCTGTCACTGAGGATACAGAACTGAAATGAAATTTAGTCTTAATGGGATTTAAATGCAACAGATAATTCTGTTGACTCAGCTATTTAAAATCCTTTCTGGTTTTGATTTTCTTCTCAGTTCCAAGTAAGAATTAATACAGTATACACCATCAATAAAAAATATCTCTAAACCTAGGGAGACACTCTTCTCTCTATGCAGAATTCATTGTCTTTCATATTTCCCTTTAATCAAGGCTATATAAAATGAGATTTTATTTCACACGGTCTCAACTAAAAGGAGACATATATATTTCTATTCCACACAAGAGCAATTCTATATAACCAGGATATCTATGGCTAAAAATATCGCCTCTTCATATTCCTCCAGAATATTCAGGGTACTAAAAACATAAATGAATAAGTGAGTACACAGGAAGCCAGTAGATAACAAAAACAGGGATGGGTAATACACAGTAGTCTAGCAATGTGTATTTCAAAAGAGCTGGGTTTTTGATGGAGAATATAGAAAAAATGGCAATAAAGAGAGGTAAATGGGTTGAGAGAGACAAACTAACAATTGAGGGGCTGCAGAGGAAGCACTGCTATTAAGGAACAACCAGGTTTCCATTAGCACAGGAAGCTGGAAAAAACATAAGGAGACCCTGAATCCAGAGTGCATCTTGAAAAGCCAATATGCTGAAAATTATGGAGTTAAGACTTAAGTTTGATGAAAGTATGGTAAGAATTGCATACATAATTAAACTCTGACTGAAGTTAACAGCTGGTAGTCTTGAAAAAGTCCCTGGAGGAAGGTGGATAATCAGTTTAAATTATACTGCAGAATATTTATCTGAAAGGGCATGGGGACCACTTATCAGCATTTACTCTTGCAGCTCAAGACAAGTATCAGCCTAGAAAATGGGTGAGGGTCTATTATCTTACCTTGCCTGGGGCAAGATATGTGAAGATCTGTATTCAGATTGCTGGGTTTGAGATGACACAGTATCCTTCCAGAAGGTATTTACTCTTGAAGATCACAAAAATCTTTTAAGATGAAAAAGAAAGCCTATTTGAAAGAAGAAATCTCAGACACTATGAGACAATGATAGGAAAATGTCAGAGAATACCTGCTTAGTAACATAGGAAGTATCAACAAATCTGCTTGGTAATAATAAATGTTCAAAAAATAACCTCTGACAGGCATACAAGAAGCCAACTGCCTATTTTCTTAGTTTTGGCCACCAGTAGACACTAGTCATGGGGAGCCTCCACATAGGTAATCAGCAGGTAAGGATGGCTGGCATGAGAAAAGGCATGGGATACTAATTACAAACACCTCCCTTAATTTTAAAAGGACACGTGACAAGGGAAAAATGACGGAAGGACCCTTACTGCAGTAGTGTAACCCACTGCCACATGTGGATTACCCTACCCTTGTATCCACCCAGACTCTTGGGGAAGTGTCTACCCAATAGTCCTATCCCTGAATGCAGCAAACCTTGTTTTGAATAACTATACAAAGAGGGACTAACCTCCAAACCTTGCAAAGGTTTTTGAATAACCATGCAAAGAGGGACTATTACATCCCAAAATTGAATGTAAGCCACTATCCTGTCGAAATAGGACAAAAGCAAACAATCCCTTTTCACACAACTATACCCTTCACAACCTTCTGTTTCTTTGTCTCCAGTAACAGCAAGGAAGAAATATATAATCCTTAAAACTAAATTACAAGGTGCAGAGATAAGCTGTAAATCGAACTCAGAGAAGAGAGATAGCATCTTCCTTATGAAACCATGATCAAATAATTATCCAGATAGAATTGCCTTTCATAGAGGTGTCTACTCAAGAGAGTCCCAACTGGTCTCCCACTCACATATAGAACTGCCATGGTGGGCAGAGGCACTTTGGTATATGAAGAAAGCATGGACCTAAAACTCGAATCTGAGTTCACATCCTGGCTCCAATCACTAACTAGTCAGTCACCTAATCTCACTGAGACTCAATTTTCTTGTACAAATGTTGTAAGAATTGAATGGGATAACAATAATCACTACGTGCATAAGACAAATGACATTAGGCTTAGGGATTCACTGTATATGAAGAAAGAGAGGTGACTGCGTTTAAGAATGGGCAGATTCTGGGGCGCCTGGGTGGCTCAGTCGTTGGGCATCTGCCTTTGGCTCTGGTCATGATCCCAGGGTCCTGGGATCTAGCCCTGAATCAGGCTCCCTGCTCTGCGGGAAGCCTGCTTTTCCCTCTCCCGCTCCCCTTGCTTGTGTTCCTTCTCTGGCTCTCTCTCTGTCAAATAAAAAAAAATAAAATCTTTAAAAAAAAAAAAAAAAAGAGTGGGCAGATTCTAAGTGTTCCCAGATGTATTTTGAGCTAAGGACTTAGAAGTTTAAAACACTGGTTGAAAATGGGTTAAGGCCTTCTCAAAGGGCTGGACATAAAGAAAGGCAGAGGAAGCAAGTGAGCACCTGCAGTACTGACTGCACAGCATCCTTCCCTTCTCCCGAGAAAGGTTTCCTCAATGATAAAAGGGAGAAAGCAAACAGATCAGAAAGCCTCAGCTCCTTTCTTCACTTCCTGATTCTGAAAGAGTTGTGTGAAGAGAAGAGCTTCCAGTTAAGAGCTTCCAGTTATGGCCAACATCTTACAACCGGGAGGCTGCAAAAAATGAAAGCCTATATGCTGAAAATTATGGAGTTAAGACTTAAGTTTGATGAATTGCTCAGTTGCCAAACCAAATTTGGAACTGCGTACCTCTAGACTTCCCCATAAATAAACAATCAATGTTCTTAAGGTTTTAGCTACTAGCACGTGATATTGTGTTCATTACACCTGAAAATGTCCTAAATGCTACCTCAGGTAAAACTTTTCCTGAATCACTCTGAGAGTTTAGAAACACTGCTCCAATGTCCCATACTTGAGCTATTTTCATATTTTCATTTACTATGGGCCAGCTTTGTCACACAATCCATGCATTATCTCATTAAATCCTCACAACCCTGTTAGGTAGGTCATTATTCCCTTTTTACAGATAAGTCTAAGGCTCAGCATAGTTAAGTGACTTGTCCAAAACTGACAAGCTAATGTGTGGCAGATCTGGGATCAGAACACATATCTCTGATCCCAAAGTTCGCACTTTAAGCTATTAAACTGTACATGAGAAGGCAGAGTCTTCCCCTCATTTTAGATTATGCTGACCACATCTTTACAGGTTATGCAGCTGCAATTCTTTCAATTTCGTAAGGGGTTATTTTTTTCTGGTTTTGTAGATATATATTGAAAAGATGAAGTCTCTATTACCTGCCTTCTACAACTGTGGGATAGAAGAATGCAGTAAATTTTTGTTGTTCTTTTAACCTAAGAGTTAAAAAAAGTCAGCTTATTTTAAAACTGCAAAAGACCAACGACTGGTGTTTATTATTTAATAAACAGGAAACAGGCTCTAAAAGGAAGTGACTTGCTCATGCTTCCACTGCTACCAAGTGCCAGTATTAGGGTGGAATCCCATGAGTTTAGGGTCCATGTTCTACATGCCTTTCATAACACTGCTGAGTGAAAATGAGCATGTACTCACTGCATTTAAAAAATACTGTACTTCTTCCCTGAATATAAAAGTACTACATTCTTATAGAAAATCTAAGAAGCTTAGAAAAGTATAAAGAAAATAGAAATCACCTATAATCCTATCACCCAATGATAATCACTGTCAATGTTTTGGTTTGGTGTTATTTCATTCCCATTTTTCTCCTATAGGTAAATATTTTTTAAAAATTTGGATCAAATTTGTTTTTTATCTTCCATTTTATACAAATAATTTTCCCCATGACATTAAATGTTCTTTAAGAATGTTTATAATGGCTGCAAAACCATCATGTAGATAGACTATCATTTATTTAAACCCTATACTACTGAAAATCTAGTTCTCTTCCTTCAGTTATATATGATGCTAGCATGAATATCCCTCTGTTCATCTTTGTTTGCTTCTGGTTACTTTCCCTGTATGGAGTCTTAGAAATTGAATTAAGGTCGAGAATAATGAAAAATTGTTTTTCCAAAAAGTAGCAATTAGGCCTACTAACAATATATGTTATTTATGATGTTTCTTTCTCCTCATTATGTTTTCTCTGGTGTTGAAGAAGCTGTGAGCTATAACGATAGGCTTTCCCACACTCACTACATTTATAGGGTTTCTCCTTAGTGTGGGTTCTCAAATGTAGAATAACTTGAGAAGTCTGCCTGAAGGTTTTTCCACATTCGTTACATTTATAGGGTTTCTCTCCAGTGTGAACTCTCTGATGATCAACAAGGTTTCGGTTAGAAGTAAAAGCTTTCCCACATTCATTACATTTGTAAGGTTTCTCTCTACGGTGAAGTCTCTGATGTTCACTAAGGGTCTTCCTTAAAATGAAAGCTTTTCCACACTCATCACACTCGTAAGGCTTCTCCCCTGTGTGAATTCTCTGATGGTCCATAATCTTTGTATTAGAAACACATGTTTTCCCACACTCCTTACATTTGTAAACTTTTTTTCCTTTGTGCATTCTTTGATGTTGAGTAAGGTTTGAACTACGGCTAAAGGCTTTCCCACACTCGATACAAGTGTAGGGCTTTTCCCCAGTGTGAACTCTATGATGTGAAATAAGACCTGAACTCCGACTAAAGGCTTTCCCACACTCCTTACATTCATAAGTTTTCTCCCCACTATGGATTCCCTGGTGCCGAATGAGGTGTGACTTACCACTGAAAGATTTCCCACATTCACTGCATGTGTAGGGCTTCAGTCCAGTGTGGATTCTTCGATGAACAACAAGGTTGGAGCTATGACTGAAGGCTTTTCCACACTCCTTACACTTATAGGGTTTCTCTCCTGTGTGGATTCTTTCATGTACTGTAAGATTTGCACTCTGACTAAAGGCTTTCCCACACTCAGTACATACATACTGTTTCTTTTCAGCCTGAATTCTCATGTTTGTTGCAGGATCTAAGCACTGACTACCATCTTTTTCAGATTCTTGCTCACTCACTTCTGTAAGTGTTTCATTGTCTTTAACTGTCTTATGCCTGAAGCTTCTTGTCTTTCTCATTTTGTCTTGCTTGAAGCATCACAGTGGCCTGTTGAATCTTCTCTTTCTCTTCAGAAGGAGCTTTCTAAATTTTGACTTCCCTGGCAACACCTCTGTGGAGTTCTCTTGAAAGTGTGAGATTCTGATTTTTCAGGAATGATACTTTGAAATCAACACCTCCTCAGTCCCAGTTCCACCATCTGACAGAAGAAACAGAAATTGCATATGTCACCTATTCTCTATCCAAAGATAACAAGATGTGGTACACCACAAGGTCTCACTTGGAAGGGGAAGTGTTCAAAGACAGAGGGAACTGATCAAAAACGAGATGAGAAAAATGAGGGTAGACCCAGAGGCCAAGGTAAAGGCTTACAGAAAGATAGGAGGGGAACCCAACAGGTCCAGCATCAGGATAAGCAATGAGTAATATAAAATCCACCCAGGTTTCCTCCTGTCTCACACTCTACTCCCAGAATTGGAGCCATCGAACTCCTCATCTCGTCCCTAGAAAAAAATGAACTGAAAGATCCTTAGTTCAGTAGCTCTTCAAATCAGTTTGGCTTTTAGTTCTTGCTGACCTATTCCCCTAATACCAATGATATAATGGCTGGCACAAAATAGATGCTCAAGAATTGTTTCATAGATCAGCAACTGGGATTGCCTTAGGGTATGACTAAGATTTCATCTTTTGCTCTAAGTCCAGGTATGAGGCCCCTGTCTATATCTCTGTTCTTAAGCCCTGTCTTAATAAGGGGTAATACCCTTCTTCCAGTACCAGAGCCTACTGGAGCCTAGTCACACCATAGCCTACTCTGTAGGGACTGCTCTGTAGCTGGATCCAGCCGCATGCACTCAGTCTGTCTGCTTCTCACCAAGCTATCACTCTGACAAGCTATCACCCAATCTACTGTGCAAACCTGAGAGGCTGAGTTGGGGAACAGGGTTAGCTAAAGCATGGCAGGGTAAGGCCATGCTCTGATAAGACCTTGCATGGTAGAATGGTAAAGTATCTAACATTGGCAAAAGGGTGAAAGTAGGAGACAGCACAACCAAAAGGGGCCAATACATGAAACCGATGTCAGGAACGAGCAGAAACTTCCTAACGGGTTTGACATGAAACTTGGGATACACAGAAAGGGATTGGGGTCATAAAAGAAAACGGAAAGATGACTCCATGATATTAACACATAATTAATGTTCTTTTTACTATGTTCCTCTCCAAACGTGTCCATTTTTATAGTATATATGGTTACAAATATACGGTAGATATAATTTTGGATCCTACCACATGTAATTTTCTACATTGCTATTTCATCATTATAAGATCATTTTATGATTATATAATACACTACCAATTGAATTCATTACGATTTACCTACAATTTTGCTAGTGTTAGATGTTTTTGTTGCTCCCTGCAGTTTAACCACTTCAATAATGCTATCATGATCACTTTACGCAAAGTTTTCCTCCTAATGAAATATATTCCTAGCATAAAAGTTTCACAAAGGAGTTACTGGGTCAGAGGGAATGAAATTTTTTTTGCAGTACTGCTTATTGCTTTTCAAAAAAGTTTGACCAGTTTCCACTGTCTCACAGCTTTTGATAAGCTGAGTCACACTCTGAAGGAGGAACATGTCCAATGGTGAGTGCTCAAGACCAGCAAGAAAGGAAGAGAACTTCTAACTGAGGTTACAGTTCATAGTTCAGGAATATAGCTGCCACTGATGCCATACAGGGACACACAGATGTGTGTGCTCAAGATGAAAAGGGGGGGCAGAGAAAATGGTGGTAGGGGGGTGGATTCTTGCCAGGATCCTGAAGCACACTCACATCCAGCTGTTGCTACCTCTCCTAATCAAAGAGGAGAAAACTCAGTGAGAAGCCAGGTGCCTGCAGAGCAGAGTAGAACAGTAAGTGAAGCCATTGCCACAGTTCTCTGGGAAAGTTGATGGTTCTGAGTTTCTTTTCCATTTGTAATCTTCTCTGAAACTCTTTTCTCCATACATGTCTTAAAGTAGTAATCATTGAGCATTCTACTCTGTATATTCTGTTTTGGATCTAACAGGGAAAATTTTAAAAAGCATTATTACAGGGGTGCCTGGGTGGCTCAGTCGTTGGGCGTCTGCCTTCGGCTCAGGTCATGATCCCGGGGTCCTGGGATCGAGCCCCGCATTGGGCTCCCTGCTCTGTGGGAAGCCTGCTTCTCCCTCTCCCACTGCCCCCTGCTTGTGTTCCCTCTCTCACTGTGTCTCTGACAAATACAATCTTTAAAAAAAAATAAATAAATAAAAAGCATTATTACAGAAAAGTAGAAAATAACTATTTGTGGTATGAATGAATGGATGGATGAACAGGTGGGTAAGTTTATATAATTACTATGATAGAGGCCTCTCATTTTGCTAGCAAATTGTCTTCTGCTAACTTGTATTATTTTTTTATTCTTTTTATAGTGTTTCTTATGAAAAGTTGGGAAATTACCTTAGAGGATCCCCATAATTACTAGAACAAAACATTTTAGAGATTCAGAATGAGACAATGCCTTGAAGCCAACACCAGCATGTCTCATTTCTACGCATAACTGATCTAAATCGTCTTAGCTAGCTACTGTAGTAAACTATTCTATTGTTAAAAGCTGCTATGGTAAAGATCAGTATCGTGGCTTGCAAGAAAGAGGTGTCCGTGGAAGCTGTTAATAGCCAGGTATTTACATGGCTCCGTCACAAAGCAATAAATACCATTACTGGACATAAAAAAGTAAAGAAATAAAATAAAGCATTGTTACATACTGAATGTGTCCTCCCCCCCCATCAGATTCAGATGTTGAAGGTCTAACCCCCAATGTGACTGTATTTGAAGATGTGACCTTTAAGGAGGTAACTGAGGTTAAATGAGATCATAAGGGCTTGATCTGATAGGATTAGTGTGTCCTTGTAAGACAGAAGAGAGCTCACTTTTGCTTCCACTCCTACCTCCCCTCCCCCCAACAAACTGAGGATAGCCACATGAGCACACAACAAGAAGGTGGCCATCTATTAGCCAGGAAAAGAGTCCTCACCAGAAACTGAATCAGGTGGTCACCTTGATCTTGGACTTCCAGGCTCCAGAACTGTGAGAAAAGGAGTATCTGTTGTTTACACTGCCCAGTTTGTGGGATTTTGTTATGGCAGCCTGAGCACACTAATAGAAGCATGAAATATTACATCTACCTTTCAGGAGCTTACAGTGGAGTAAATGGTGAAAAATGAGGAGACCAAATTAAGATTTACAAAGTACCCAATCAGGAGGTGAAGGGTGCTAGGGAAGGGAGCAATTACTGGGGCGAGGAATGCTCGGGGAGAGGTGCTTTAAGAAGGCAAACCTTTGGCTGAGCCCCAGAACATGAAGGAATTGTTTCCTCAAAAAGAAGCTCGTGGGGGAGAGGGAGGCAAAAAAAAAAAAGGAAGGTTGCACAGGGCCAGTGTACTCAGAAATAAGTGGGAGATTACACTATCACGTAGCTTCATGATGGTGGGGATTTTATTCATTTTGTTTACCTTTGTCTTCCCAGCATCTAGCACAGTTCCAAGTATATAGTAGACACCAAAATAATTTTTTTGAATGAACAAATGAAAGAATTAAGTTGCCTGAAGTGATATGAGCCAGAACACTGAAATTATGGGGCATATCTCGATATAATTTAATGGTCAATGGGTAACAAGCCATCCTCATTTTCTTTCCCCACTCTACATTTTTTTTTCTACCTCGTTCTCCTCTCTCACTTGTCAAGAATACAGTTTCTAGCATCATTCTAGCATCATTATTAATAGTGGCCCCCTTAACTCACAAAAATATTCCAGTCTGGACAATATATTTCATATCATCCTGCCTAAAAGTGAAATTAGGAAAAGAACGCTTTAGGGTATAATACTGTATATCAATTATACTTCAATTAAACATTTTTTTTTTAAATGATTTAGGAAGATTAGCCCAGATGGATTAGAGGTGAAAAAAAAAAAAGAATGGAGGAAGGGAAATGAGTTGGGAGACAAGTTTAGGAATGCAGTATGGGTGACCACTAGAGGGTCTGCCACTTTCTAGGTATCCGATAAATGTTTGTGAATGACTGAACAAATGAATGAGATAGTGAGACCCTAATCCAGGATAATGATAGGAAAGAGAACGATGAAATCCAGCGATTTCCAGGAAAGCATACACTTATATCAGATTGGACACAGAGGATGACTAAAAGAAAGAATTCAAGGTTATCAGATCCAGGGCTGAATATCAATAATGGTAATGTCACTAAGAAAATGAAGATGTAGGAAAATACTTTAGATGAGAAGAGGAAGAATATGTCAGGAATGCAAATTTGAGAATAAGACAGAGGGGACAAAGGAAGTCATGCAAAGGAAGCTCACTGAGATAGAGATTTTGGTTAGAAGAGCAGGAACGGAGAAAGAGAAATGCACAAGGATGTGCCATAAGGAAGCCCAAGGTGGTTCTGGGGGGCCTGAGAAGGAAGCAAGACTTATCAGAAGATCAGGGAGGGCCAGTCTGAGGAGAGGCTGGTCAAAAAGAAACCTAACTATTTGTCCTCTGCCTGACTGGATGGGAAATTCCCTCAAAAAACCTGAAAGAATTCCCAGGCACTAGGAGAGAAGGTGAACTCTTGGTGGAGAAGTAAAAGGAGGGACAGGGCCAGTAGAACACTAAAAGAGATCCAAGCAACTGTGAATAAAAGCATAATCTCAGAGACAACTGGCAAATGGATGAGAACAAATGAAACCCCACAAATCTCTGACCTACAAATCCCTGAGACTGATGGGTGAATGTTCTGATCTTAGGACCACCATTCACTTCAGGCTGTGAGAAACTCACAAAGGGCAGAGTCCTATTCCCAGAAAGAGAGAGAAAGAGGTTTTATCTTGGGAGGTTGTATTCCTTTAACTCACCAGCAGCACCTGCCTGTACAGGTTTCTGTGAGCAGTAGTCACATGGTCCTTGGTTACTGATTAGCTGCAATGGAGTGAGGAGTAAGAGGGAATACCTGAAAAATTCCAGAGAAGACAGATGAACGAAATATAAAAATTGAAAGAAAAAAAAAAAACCGGGAGAAAATATCAGAGGACTACTTGATCTCAGGAAGCAAAAGGCCTATGCCTTAAGCATAAAACAAAGCCCGACATCATAACAAAAGCAGATAGATTTGATCATACAGAAATTCCTGCACTTCAAAAAAAATACCATAACAAATCTGTAATATAAACTAGAGTTGCCTTATACTAGAATTAATTGGGTGTATGTCTGTGTCACTCCTCCTCACAAGTATACTTTAAGCTCTAAGTCCCCGAGGGCAAGGCCCATGGTATTCATAGGTGGAATTCCACAAAGTACCTAGCACAAAGAGGGCTCAGTAAATGTTTTGTGATTTGAAATGTTAAACAAGTTCAAGATTCTAAGTCTATCTGGGTGCAGGGATGATAAGAACAGCATTCTTCACACAATGACCACCACCATCCCTCCTTCACTTGTTCATCCCTTTTGTACTGCATATTATCTGAACACCATGACAGTATATTTACAATCTTGGCAATGCTGTCTCAACAGGGCCATCCAACAGGGCCCCAATTCTATACTGACCGTCTAACTACTCAGAGATTCTCATAATGTCAGAGCTGGAAGGAATCACCCAGCTCTCCCAGTGTCTTCTATCAAAATGTAGTGATGGGGAAACAAACTTAGAAGAAAGCTGCAACTCAAATCCAAGTCTCCTGACACCCAAATTTGAGTTCAACTATATTACCTTTCTTCCCATCCCCAAACTGTGCTCCTCAAGGTCCAGAGGCCCCACTCCCACTTCTCTGCTTCTCTCCTCCTCAATAAATAGCCATCCAGAAATGCTCCCTTTCAGCCATGGTCCCCTTCCTCTAGTCAGCAGGATTCCTGTCCCCAGATAACTAATTTCACAGTATAGGTCTCACCTGCCCAGCACAGCCTCACTCCAAAGGATGTGCCCAGCACAAATCTTGCCTGATCCCTTCCTTGGGTTTGGTGAGGAAGTTCTTAATGGGGTGTTGGATCACTGTAAACAGATAGAAATGATTGAGTTCTCTGAGAGCTCAACTCCAAGCAGGCACTCAGAGCAGTGTCCCATCCCTGGGCAACTTCTTTTCCTAAGGAACTGTGAAAAGTAAGGATGATCATTCCCATTCTGAAGATGAGGAAATGCAGCTCCCAGAGATTGAATGACTTGCCAAAGGTCGTATAGCTGGTGAGAGACAAATCTTCTGTGTCTGAAGGTAATCCTCATTCCATCAAACTACAGCTGCTCCTTTTCACCTGTTCTGTTTGATATCTAAAAGTCTACATATTCTTCTCTAACTGCAAAATGCATTCCAACTGCAATCCTGCTTTCCAGCCAAAGTTTGCAGCAGGGAGATGAGAAGGGGACTTTTTGAGTCAAGTATCTTTAGAGAGGAAAAACTAAGTTTTTAAAAGGAGGATAAAAGGTGAATGTTTTCTTGGGGTTTTTTTGTTTGTTTATTTTTAACGATTACCTAGTTCTTAGGATTACTTGCCCTCAAAATCAGTTTTATGTTTTCAGCCCCTCCAGATTCCCAGACTGGGCTTCTAGCCCTTCAAGCTTGTTCCATTTCTTCCCTACCAGAAAATACCTCTTCTTTGTCCACACTGTAACCTCAGGACCTAGCACTTTTTGGTAGGTGCTCAATAAGTATTGAATGAATGAATGAATGAGTGAATGAGTAACCTCCTGCAAAACTCTGTTCCTCACTGGGAACACAGCTGGGATTGGACTGGTGATCCGATTCAAACTGGGGTTGTGGAGTCCTTTGAGCGTGGCTGGGATCTGGACCGCTATTACCAGGGTGGCCTGCTGGCTAGGAGCGGGGATGACAAAGTTCTATAACCATTATCAGCCCTGTCAGAGCGAGCAGCTACGCTGCGTGGGAGACGAGACCCCAGACAAAGGGACAGCACCGAACGAGGGGAGGGAGAGGCCCTCAACTACCCCTAGAGAGATCTCCTCCCCGTCGCCGCAGCGGGCTGCGCTAAAGCAGGCCTGGGTCTCAGCCGGTGTTGCCCACCCTCTCCCAGAACACGGACCGAACCCCCAAGCCAGGCTCCCACATACCCCTCATCGAGAGCGCCCGGCCCACATCTTGGAACACAGCGGAGAAGGAACTGCGTCACTGACTCCCCACTAACTCTCAACCTTACCCTCCGGCCCTTCTAGGCATCTGGAGGTTTCGGCCTCTCTGTGCCCCGGAGGTTGGATCCTCCCGCCCCGCTCAGGAGTCCGCCAGCCTCGCGGGAGCTCCGACCCCGCCTCCCGCACAGTTTTTGCCCTACCATTGACTTGGGAGGGTGAAAGGGCTTGGAGAGTTCAGCCAATTAACTCTAGAGGGCTCTAGAAGGGGTGGAGATTGGGAGGGAGACGTGATTAGGGCGGGAAGAGGAACCAATCAACTAGGGGGGCAGGCTGCCTTTCTCCATCTGAGAGGCTCCCTGAAGTCACATTCCCTGCTACAGAAAAGTCATCTTTCCTTCCACAAATCCCACGCCTTTAAGCCTCAAAGCCAGGATCAGTTCCCAATTACTGGTAGCATATAAAAATACATATGGGGTGCCTAGGATGTCACTGTTTTAGACACTGCAGATGAGGTAGTGAAGAAAATGAACTCGCTGCCTCATAAAGCTTACATTCAAGTCAGGGGATGCAATGATAAATACATCTGGGGGAAGAGTATTCCTAACAGAGGGAACATCAGGAACGAAGTCCTTGAATCAGGAGGGAGGTGGAGGGCACATTTCAGATCTTATAGACCATAAGGGCTTTGGATGTGTCAGTAATAACATTAGAGGGTTTTGGAACTGAGGAGTGACATGATCTTACCTTTTTCTTTTCTTGCCACATATCCAAAATTTATTAACTATTAGATACAAAAGAAGCCAAGAAACTTGTTCTAAAAATTCTGTGAATTTCTTGCTCATAGTCCCTGGTCATTCTGACAAAAACCACACTTGGAAGTTTCAATCGATGACATAACATTTTAAAAATTTGCTCTGGCTGCTCTGTTGAGAACAGTCTGAAGGTGGGTGAGAGTAGAAGCAGGGAGATTAAGAGGCTATTGCAGTATTCCAGATGAGAAATGATGGTGGCTTTGATTAGCTTAGAAATGATGGAGATGATGAGAAACGGTTCTGCATACACAGTTGATCCTTGAATAATGCAGGGGTTAGGGACAGTGACCCTGATGTAAAAAGAAAATCCACATATCCACATTTTGACTCCCCCAAAACTAAACTATTGTTAAATTTGTTGACCAGAAGCCTTATGTGTTATCAGTCAATTCACACTTTTGTATGTTACATGTATAATGGCTCCCCAGCCAGCCTCTGACACTGAGGTCAACCCCATAAACACCACTGTGTTTGGAGACACAACTGCCCCTCAAGTCACATGCCCAGGGCATGGTCATGTCAAAGCTACAGCTGAGGGCCCAGCACCATGGCCTGCCTGGCTGCCTTTAGTGGGGGTGTTTTCCTGGGTCTCTACTCCTAGCAGTCCTACCTCTGTAGTAGACATAATGAGAAACAGCCTCACCAAGAGGATCCCTCATCCCTATTCTGGGCTTGTTAGACTAAAAACCTCTGGGCCATTGACCATGTTTTCCTTCAGGGCTGGATCTGGTTCTTTGGGAGGCAAATGCTTGGCCTCAGGGAATAGCTTCATTGAGACTGGACTATGTCCACCTTCCTCCCAGGCTGGACCATGTGTGGGCTTTGTTTAGATGGGAAATGAATATCTAGCCCTGACCTTTGTAATCCTGGAGCCAACTGAGTGCCCACAGATACAGCATTCCAACCCCATTCCCTGCCCTGCAATTTTCCCCAAAGGTGGGTGGTTTAAAGCTATTGTTCAATCCCTGTGGTCACAGTCCTCAAAGGGTAGTTGATGGAAGTGCTCATGTCCCATTTTCCTCCAGACTTGGATGTGGCAGGACTCCTTCTGCCTAAGCTTGTCTCCTCCCCTTCCCTATTTTCTACCCAGAACCCTTGTGTCTTCTCCAGAACTTATCATAAAACCTTGTACCTGTTCCTCTGCATAATTCTCATGCGCCTATGCTCTGTAGACCAAGTGTGGAAAAGCACAGATTTGGATAAGGGGTGACATGGGGGCTGGATCTGTTTCAAATTTCCTATGGCCCAGCTAACAGGGTAGAGAGAGTAGCACACCTTGATGGCTAGAAGGACTGACAACTGCATATGACAGTGTGTTTTGGGTTTAAGGATGCAGCCCAGGATAACATGGGTCTCAGGGGAGGTATACACAGGGAGATTCATCCCTGCTTGTTGGAACTGTTGCCGCTCAAACACCTCTCTGACCTGGAGCAGACTGGACATCCCTATCACATTCCACACATTTCATTTTGTCTAACATAGTCATTTCTGTTTTAACTTTTTGCTTTATCACCCCAGGCAGATCATGTACATAAGTATCTTACCTAAGGAACATGGGCCTGGCTTTACAGCTGCTGAGCTGGGAAAAACAAGGCAGGATTTCATTATAGGGTGTGATATATCCCTGAGCAATTCCTGACATCCCATTTTAAAATTCAGAGGGACTCCCTCATTACATCTCCTCCTTTTTTAGGGCATGAAAGGGAGCTCTTTGCAGAGGAAGCAAGCTAAGGTTACTTTTTATTAAAGATTAATAGTCTTCCAGTTTGTGGTCTGATATGTATGGACATATCAGAAATGCTGAGCATTTCTCAACAAGAGAAATGCTGAGCAAGCTGAAAATCAACAAGTCCTCAAAAATCCATCAGAGAACTGAGATCTCAAGACAAACTGCCACCACAAAAATGAGAGACAGATGAATACAGAAGAGTCACAGCCTCAGAAGCACAAGAGTCTGCAGGAGCCAGGATCTGGGCTGCAAATGACTGAAGCATCTCTGGAGGCTCCATGAGCATGGCTGGAAAGTGAAAATCTCCAGGGGGGTAATTCTGGTGAGGGCCTCTACACTTCTGTGACTTACCTCAAGTAGCCCTACAACATTGTCACAATGAAGGTCAAGGAAAAGTTGTTCAACTTCCATCTGGAAGAGAAGAGAAGCAATCATCTGAAACACACCCAGAGCCTTCTGTTCTCCTTAAAGAAGCCTTCCCTCAAGGGGAATTGTGTTAGCAGAGCAACCACTTTGGGTTTGATCAGAGCATAACTGACCTGGAGTAAGGAAATCCCCAAATCTAGACGCCTCCAGGTTTCTATGTAGAGGAGGGGACCCAACTCCAGCTCCTTCTATTCTCTTAGCTAATGGGAACAAAGGTCTGAGAAGCACTTGTAAAGGCCAAGTCCCAGAGACATACTTTCACTAAAACCCTTGAGATCTAATCATACAACTACACAACACTTCCCCTACTTTTCCACTGCATTAATGTGGCTCTGGTTATCAAGACATGATTTCAAGTGAAAGAATGTCAACTCTCAGATTTTACTGAAGAATAAGTATCATGGAAAACCCAAAGCAAACAGTAAGGACAAGCAACAAAAACCTCCTGCAAAATAAAAAGCACCTCAGAGGAATTTATAGCTTCAAACATTATAGCTCACAGCAAACAGTGAACATGGGAGTAACTTCCAGAAGATAAAAAAACTCACATTAAAGGAAAATTTACTTCAGTAGTTTTTGCTCAGTGCATCATGTCCAGATTTCCACCAAACATTACAAAGCATGTTAAATGGCAAAAACAACACAGTTTGAAGAAACAGAGCCTGCAGCAGAACCAGACTGGGATATGACTGATATTGGGGAATTAGAGAACTGGGAATTTTAAACAAACACATTTAATGTGCTAAAGCCTCCAGTGGAAAAAGTGGACAGCATGCAAAAAGTGATGGGCTCTGTAAACAGAGAGGTGGACTTGTGGGAAATAATCAAAAGGTAGTTGTAGAAATAAAAATCACTGTAAACAGAATTGGAAAATGCTTTTATTGAGCTCCTGAGCAAGGAAAGTTCAGTGAGCTTGCAGATACAGCACCAGAATGTTCTCACACTAAATGATAACAGAGAAAAACCGATGAAAATAGAATAGTCAGGAACTATAGGACAATGACAAAAGGTGTAACATAAATGGAACTACTAAAAGAAGAAAACACAAGGCAGAGAATTAGAGGAAATATTTGAAGTACTAATGGCAGAAAACTTTAATTTAACGTACTTGAACCTCAGATCCAAACATCTCAGAAAACATCAAGCAGGATGCATATCAAGTTATCAACCCCTTTGTTATGACAAGTGTCAGAACATTAAGACAAGGAGAAAACCTTGAAAGAATGCTGGGGGTGGGGAAAACTGCCCTGTAGTAAAACCGCTGTTAGAATCACATTGTTTTCTCTTCAGCCAGAGAAAAGAGAAGCAAAAACACAGAGGAATGACATATTTCAAGCATTGAAAGAAAAACACTATCAATTTAGAATTTTGTATCCATCAAAATCTCTTCAAAAGTGAAGTCTACATCAAAATCCTTGAGGAGAACACAGGCAGCAACCTCTTCAACCTCGGCTGCAGCAACTTTTTGCTAGACGCTTCTCCAAAGACAAGGGAAACAAAAGCAAAAATGAACTATTGGGACTTCATAAAGATAAAGCTTTTGCACAACAAAAGAAACAGTCAACAAAACCAAAAGGCAACCTTTGGAATGGGAGAAGATATTTGTAAATGACATATCAGATAAAGGGCTAGTATTCAAGATCTATAAGAACTTATCAGACTCAACACCCAAAATAACTAAATACTCCAGTCAAGAAATGGGCAGAAGACATGAACAGACATTTCTCCAAAGAAAACCTACAAATGGCCACCGGACACATGAAAAAATGCTCAATTTCATTCAGCATCAGGGAAATACAGATCAAAACCACAATGAGAGACCACCTCACACCAGTCAGGATGGCTAAAATGAACAAGCCAGGAAACAACAAATGTTGGTGAGGATGTGGAGAAAGAGGAAACCTTTTACACTGTTGGTGGGAAGCTAGCCACTCTGGAAAACAGTATGGATATTCCTTAAGAAATTAAAGATAGAGCTACCCTATGACCCAGTAATTGCACTAGTAGGTATTTACCCCACAGATATAAATGTAGTGATCTGAAGGGGCACATTCACCCAAATGTTTATAGCAGCAATGTCCA